AGGCCACATTGCCAATGCAATCTTTGACATTAAACTGCAATATATTGCAACAATTGGACAATATTAAGATAGTATTACAGTAAAACATCAACATACAATCATATGAATATTGTAATCACTGAACTACTGAGTTTAAATATTATTAAACTATGATGAAGTACCATGTTGTGTAGANTCCTAGAAGTCTTCTTGTTATCCCGGTCCTTACACATGTTTTGGCAGCATGCAAGAGGCTGAAAACCAGTAGCGTGCACAGACATTTTCGGGGACAGGTGCTCAAATGTAAAAAGAGTGCACCTTGTCCGGTGCACGGAATCAGCAGCTGTCCTAATAATGTTACATTACAGACACATCTTGTACATTATGCATATTTATCTATTTTAAATCAGATTTTTCCATCTGATACAGATATTTAATGTTCATCAACACTCTACAGGTTGGTTTCTGTAACAAACTGGCAACAACGGAACAAAAACTAGTAATGACAATTTTTGTAGTGTTTATAAAATAACAATAATCAAATTTATTTCACAAAATTACTAATGGCTTTTTTCTTCCTTCAGTCTCTCCATCATAGAGCTGTTTCCATGATCTGAATTCTAACAGTTCAGCTTCATCTGTGTCTGACAGAGGACGGCAGGAAAACATAGAGCTGCTTCTCTGCTGCAGCTAAAACACCAACAATATGAAATATGTTTATTTGGGTGAAACAGCTTGGTGACAAAGGTCAGTGCAATAAATTACAACATTTAAACTAATCAGACTCTAAATTACTGTCAAAATGTAACACTATAACACAGGGGGTCGAATTCAATAGGGGGTGAAATTTCCACACTTAGTCCAGATCAAGAGCCAATTTCTGTTAATATTTATTGAAATAAAAGCAAATTATTCTTATGATACTAATTTTATTTTCCAAATTATGGTTTATGTTCCATTTAGAGCACCCAAAACCTGAGAAAGAAGAGATTAAATTTAAAAAGAGCTCATTGTTTGCATTCATTATTCAATGTTTGACTTTAAAATGAAAAGAAAATACAGAAAAATACAACTGAAGCTAATTCTCTTTCCACACTAAAATCAAAGAATACTGAAAAATTCAAACTTAATTTTATTAATATTTGCCTCGTTAGTCTTTACAGACAACAGGAAGTGAAGTTTGACTTCAGCATCTGAGGTTTAGGGGGTAAAAAGTGAGACCAGATCCTGTGGATCATCACTTTGTGTTATTTTAATTATGGACACATTAGACATTCATTCCTCTCTGCTTTGGCTGTTATTACACAACAATGTATTTTAAAGGTTTTTAAGAAAAATAAGTACATATTTTTATTAAATACATTTTAAAATTTATCAAAAAATGCTTTAGTTAAAAAATATTTAAAGTTTAATTTTTTTATCATGATAAAAAAAACCATAAGCAGGTCAGATGATGTGTGCTGTTATGTGTCTGTCCACAGACTGACAGGCAGCTCTGAACTGTTAGTTTCTTGTGTGAATCTTTTACAGACAGTTGCTTCAGGTGTGTTTTCCTTCAGGGAAAAAAAAGTTTAACAATTTTCTCTCTGAGAATCATCTTCCACTTTTCTCAAGTATTTTCCAGTTATTATTTTTGCAGAATTTTTGACATAGTTTTTATCACATTCTGCATAAGTAAAATCCATTTTCTTTCACGTGTTTAAATATTTATTTTTAACACGCAGGACACACTGCTGCACGTTTGATTTGCTGCTGCTGCGTCTTTTGCCTTATTGTGTCTTTTTTCTTCTCTCCTCCTCCTGAATGCAGAGAGAGAAATAAGGAGGCATTATCTAATGGTTGTAAATTGCAGCCAATAAAAAACGTCTGTTGATTGTTTCCCTTTCTTTTCTTTTTTCTTCTTTTTATGTCTTGTTATAATTTGATCAGTCAAATGTGGGACTTTGTTTGAACTTGTGCGACGCCGGGACAAGAGTGAAACATGAGACAGTCCCACACAGTTTGCCTGGGGCTGCAGGTAAATTACCTGCTGGTTAAAACTGTCCTCTGTTGTGTGGATGAGAGAAGAGAGAGAGAATACAAATAAAAAAAACCACTTTTTACTTCAGATATTTAAGGATTTTACATGGAAACTTCCTTTGTGGCTTGAATTAACATCTCTCACACCGTCCCCCACTAGACTTTGTGACGACGCCCCAGCAGTCAAACTGAAAGAGTTTACATTCTGATAAGTCCCTGTTGCTTCCATCCCCCGTAAGCACAAGACTGTTGGTTCCTCTTCAAAGGGATCATAAATGCCTGTAACCGACTCTTCGGCGTGACTGAGAACAAAGGACCCACATTCTTTATTAAATGTGGAAAAAAAGAACAAGATTGAATGTTTTTATCCAACTGTCTGTTTTCATATATCTTAATCAAAGAAATGTGATTTACCTGTTTCTTTTTACAGAAAGAACAAAACCCATTGAAGCTCTGCTATGTTCTCTTTTTTTTAACGTTTCACTAAGGACTCAGTGTGGTAACTGTGTGATGTTAATTGTTTTGATGAAATGTTTTCCTGAAGAAGATGTGTGTTTTATTCCATGATTTAATCCTTAGAAACTTAGGACTTGAGTTTTTATTAAAAGTGTGACACTCTTATTTTACTGAGGCAAGCAGGTGTCTCTCCCTTTAATTAGATGTGAGATAATCAAACTAAAACCCTCCTTGTTTGTTTTCAAAGTAAACCTTTACCTCCAACAGACTCGCTGAGATCTTTGCCTCTATAAGGTGTAACATTTTTGTTGGCCAACTAAACCTTGGCTCTGCCCAAAACAGAGGTTTTAAAAGTTAGTGCAGCTCCTGAGATGACAGAGTTTTTTGAGAGTTGAGAAGTCAGAAACAGCTTTTCAGAAGTTTCAGCGGAGACCGGCCCTGTCAGCCCTTGGCTGATCAGGTTACGGGCTCTGCATCTCCCGCTGGTTGAACAAACAGCCACCGTTTAATATTGACTCAACACCTGAGTTTGATTTTATAGAAGTTAAATAAGCTAATTGTAACTCATGTGTCGTTTTGGTTCGTTTTTCTCTACAAAGTTGAAATCAAATTAAGAAGTCTTGCAGACGCCTAAAGACGACCGGATCACGTTGTCACCAGGGAGTGACCCCCTTCTCTGACCACGGGACCAGTCGAGTTTATCAGGCAGACCGCCTGACATCCAGCTCGCATGAAGAGTCTACCTGGGAGACGACCCCCAGAGATGACCTTCAGTCGCTGACTTCCCCTCCTGGTACCCACACGGCGGAGCAAAAGGGTAAAAATGAACATTTGTCCTGGTGACACACAGGTGCTCAGACGTAATTTGATTCTTATCTTTGTATGACGATTTTTCTCTTCCATTTAACTAGGACCCTTAGTTAAAAAAACAGCTAAAAGCAAAACTCACCTCACCTTACTCCAAGCCTCAAACTCACCTCTCAGTGTTTATTTTATTTTATTTATTTGTTTGTTTATTCACTTGTGATTGCAAACTCTGTCAGTTTTACCTGGTTCAACATGTCATCACTCATTACTCACCATAGTTGTAAATACATTTAATCTGTAAATAAATGGCCTGTGGAGAACATACCAACATAAGCTAATCTCATTTTTGTGTCTTGATAAAAAGTATTACTTGTTCTGATAAGACAAGGACTCATTAAACCATTTTGGGTACATTTATTGTGAGACTGATTACAATAAAGTTACAGGTTTTCGTCTCTTAAATCCTTGACCAAATTAAGAACGTGATGCCTCGAGGTAAGATAATTTGCATATTTAAATAATTCACAAATTATCCGTTTTAGAATATACCCAAAACCCCTACAGCAGCTTCAGTGAATCAAGTCCTGCTGGCCTCTAGACCCAACAAAAACAAAGCAGGACGTGCAATTTATTAATTACACTGACTGACTCTTTATTACCTGTTCAGCTGCTCATTAACACAACCAGCCAATCATGTGGTAGAAACTCAGTGCCTGAGATGCAGCACCTGTGTGATGCTGACATGTTGATATGGAGCAGAATGTTGCCAACATCTGGAGGAGGTCTAACCTGATACTATGTCATCTGTCCAAATAAAACCATACCTGTCTTTTAAAGCAGGGGTTCTCAAACTTTTTGGGTCTGGAGACCCCTTACAAGGGTGAAAAATTTCCAGGGACTTCCTTATAAAACCCATGCTGTTTTAAAAATAATTTACTGTCATTTTAACCCCTGGATTCCATGGGAACAGTAATTTTTGTTAGGTTTAGTGCGTTTGTTTTACTAGTGCGTTGTTCCTCATATGCACATTTTTTAAAATTAAAAACCAAATTAACAATTTATTGAAATTTTTTGAGGACCCCCAAGATACAGCTCGTGGACGGGGTCCTGGGACTCCAGTTTGAGAACCTCTGTTTTAAAGTGTCTCTTACCTTTGAGGTGCAGGTGGACACAGTGAGCAGCTCTTCAGTGCAGCTGTCATTTCTTCTATGTCACACTTTATAAGCCTGACGTTGCAGTTTTCAGTTTAAATTGAGAAACCTTCCAGTAAAACATTTGAAAAGATCCAAAAGAACTTCAGAGGTCGTCCAATGGAGTGACACACAGGAGGTTTCAGAACAAGTCAGTGTCTGATCTGTTTACCTGAGGTGTTAGCAGAGGATGTGATTTCTGATCAAGCTTCAGGAGCTCCTTTTTAGTAAAACAGGATTTATAAATCCTATCATCCTCACTCTTATAGAAACACAGATAACATTTCAACAATCTGAAGGGTAATTTTAAAAAGCTGCACAATTCCAGATCCAGAAGTCTCTGTGGGCAGCATCAGGAAATCCTAAAGCTCCAGGCAGGAATGTAAAACTTGTTCTGATGTCACCTGAGCAGTGGAGGAGTTTATTCAAACTGTGGCCTACAGCTGAGGTCAAAGCTAACTGCTAACTGTTTTAGCTGTTATTAGTTTAAAGGAGATGCAGCAAGAACCTCAGGATCTGTCTGGTGATTCTTGCAGCTGTAAAACAAACATGTTTATCGTGACGTTGTGTGGTGGCTTATAGAAATGAAAACTTTCCTCTTAATTTCTCATCTTCAGCAGCTCATTTTACTGAGAAACCGCATGAAAATCATGTGTCTGAATCAAAACCATGTTCACATGTTCATATTATTCCATGTGATCCCATGTTAATCCACACGTGTTCGCATGTGATAAACATGTAAAGTTACAGTATGTGTGGTGTGGTGTTAGCCACGCCCCCCGGTGGAACAGGAAGTCATTTCAATTTTTAGACTCCACAACCTTTATAAACAGATGAATGTTTCTCATTTATCATTTTAAATAAAATTTGTAAAATAATAAAAAATAAACTTACTTGACTGTTAATTTTTTGGATAAAACATTTAATAAAGTCTTATTATTCACTTTATTGTATTATGTGATTTTTGTTGCAATTAGATTTTAGTTTTTAAATGCCTGTCAAAAACAAACATTTGTTTCATTTTGTAAAAAAAATAACATTATTTTATTTTGTACAAAACTACTTATTTGACTAATTTTATGGAAAAAATTTACCCTCTTAGAAAAAAAAGACTGGTTGCATCCAATGTTTGAGAAAAATGTGACCATAAAAACTAGCTCAGTTGGTTTTTTTAATTCGGACTTAAATGTCCTTAAATTAAAAAGACACAATCTTTATTTACCTGAACATTTAGCTTGTGTTTGTAAAAACAAACAAACAAAAAAAGGTTTCTGGATGGTTTAGAGGGAAATATCTGTGTGTGTAAAACTCAAGGAACAACTGATCATTTTTAAACTTGTTTTAGTGAAAATCTAAAGAGCTCATTCTGAAATGAAAAACTCTTTATATTCATCTGTACGTTCTACAGAAACAAAAAAACGTATATTCACAGGCAGCCCCACCCACCTGAATGAGCTGCAGAAGTCAGTTTAAATGTTTAAACTTCACTGATGTTCATGATGTTTGAGCATCTCTCTGCAGACCCCGCCCCCCTCAGAAGAATTGATTATAAGTCATTAATAAGAGCTTAGTGTGTGACTCATTTTATTACTGACATAAACGTAGTAAAAACTACAGAACAAGAGCCATGTTAAGAAAAAGTGAAAGGATCTTTTGATAAGACATTAGTCTCACAGAGACCAAACAAAGGTGTGTGGGCTCTTCACCAGTTCTCGGACTGCGTTCAGTTTTTACACTCCTGATCTGTTAAACATGTAGTCATTCATGATCGGCCAATTCTTCAGCTCACCAGGAGCTTCTCTCAGAATAAAACACATGGTTTGTCAACCGTTTCACCTGCTGCGTTAAATGTGTTCAATACTGTTACCTAGAAGGATTAACTTGTCAGAAAATGATCTTTTTGAAATGTGGTGAACAAAAAAATTATATCTACTTTTTTTCTTTTTGTGTTTTTAAAACCCAGCTGTCAGAGCAGGTTTCACAAAGCTCAGAAAAACAAAACAAAACAAGAAAGACAACAAAAACCTGGAAAATTCATAAAACACATTGTTCAGATGCACAAATCCTCAGACTACACCACGCTATGTGCTCAGCTCATAAACAGTTCTAATTGTTTTAAATAATTTTTTTAAGTTGCTGTGAAAAATGTAAAACATAAGTTTCTTTCAACCTGATGACTCTTTTGTGTATGTTTAGCACATTATGACAGCAGTGCTGGGCAGCAAGCAAAGGGAACCTGAAAACTGCACCTACAGAGTCCTGCAGAAAACCTGCTCCTGATGGAGCAGCTTTAGTCCAGTCTCAGGGTCACGCTCTTCCAGCCGGGGTCCCTTCTGGAGCCCTGCAGGATACCAAAGTGTTCCAGGGCTAGACCAGTCTCTCCACGCTGCTCGACAATGTTAAACAACACCAAGACAAGTGCACATGTGCCTCACAGTGGGTTCAAGTCCTTCACGTGTTCATAAAGTTTGCTTCTTGACAGCGATGTCAGGTATTGGGCTTCAGAGGACCAACAGGAACAAAGCTCCCAGCAGGTGAGTGTGTTTCTGTCGGTTCATTTTGTCCCTGTCTGATGACCCGTACTCTTCAGCTCACATGCTGGTTTCACTCTGAGATGTTAAGCTTCCATCTAGAACAATGTGATTTTCTTGTTTGTCCCCTTTCTGTCCTGGCCTTGCATCGTCCTCCAGCCCTACAGTTCCTACCTCCTGGGTGCAGTTGACCAGGCTAGTTTTAAATGGCAGTGGGCTGGAGCTGCTGCTGGAGCCGACAGCAGACCGCTCCATGTGATTCCTTCCATGATGGCTTAAGCCCGTGAGCTGCACTTCACCTTCTAAGCTCCTGGCCGCTGAGCCCTCTCCACCCCCCTGAGGCCTGCTTGAAGTGCCCGACTGCTGCCCCAGTGATGAGGCTGGACAGGTTGTTTGCAGAGTCTTAGCCTCACCCGTTAGAGAACTGTGAGACTTAGAACACACTGACACTGTGTCGTCATAAAATACTTGGTCACACTTGGAGTCGGTGGAAGCTGGACTCATCACAGCCATAAGGATATCTTCTTCAGCTCTGATGAAGTCAACCTTCAGCGCTCTCTTTGTTTGAGGGCTGCTAAAGTCCTGCACAGAGCCACACGTGCTGTCACAGACCATCTCACGGCTCACCAAACGTTTGTCTCCAGTTGCACTTTTTTGTGGAGTGGACTCAAACTCATACAAACCCTCTTTGATCATGGTCATTGGTCGGACGCAGTCCGGTCCCCGATCCATGGTGCTGATTTGACTTAAGTCCAGGGGTGGGGGGACACGCTGCCTAAAACTAATGGGACCCCCTTCAGCGGTGGGTAGTAGGGAGCTTCTTTCTGCTTTTTCTGATGAAGCAGGATCTACCGCACTGGAAACTTTGCCAGGATTGCTGCCTTTAGGAGGACTTTGTCTGACTTGGATAGAGGCCGAAGCGTTCACCTTTTTCTGTTCTTCCGTGGGTTTGCTCTGTTGTTCCTGGAGTCCAGCTGACTTGTAAGGATTTTCCAGCTGCTTTGCACTGAGATCTTGAGAGGAAGACTTGTTAGAAGGGGATTTGACCCGTTCAGGGGAGCCCTGCTGAGTGACCTCTCGATATACCTGGGACCTGACTGGGCTACCACCCTCGCTGTTTGAGTAGTGTTTGTGGTAACTCCACCGACTGGGGGACAGATGGTTGTCAACAGGACATTTGTTTTCTTCTCTTTTTTCCACCAACACATCTGTGAGCTCCATGCCACGTGTAAATGCATCTTTTACGTTAATGGAAACAATACTTCCGCTTCGTTTGGCTCGTTCCAGAGCTTCCCTTCTCTTGATGGCTTTCTCTTGCCGTTTCTGCTCTCTGTAAAACTCTGAGAAGTTGTTGACGATAATTGGAATGGGAAGAGCAATGACTAACACACCTGCTATACAGCAGAGCCCTCCTACAATCTTGCCTAGCAGTGTTTGTGGATAAATGTCTCCATAACCAACAGTCGTCATTGTGATGGTAGCCCACCAAAAAGAGGCAGGAATGCTCGTGAATTTGGTGGAATCCTCATCCTTCTCAGCAAAGAACACCAAGCTAGAGAAGATCATGATACCCATAGCTAAAAAGAGGATGAGGAGGCCCAGCTCATTGTAGCTCCTTCTCAAAGTGAAGCCCAAGGACTGGAGTCCAGTTGAGTGCCTGGCCAGTTTCAAAATTCTCAGAATCCTCATGATACGAAAGATCTGGACCACACGACGCACGTTCTGGAACTGCATCACACTCTTGTTAGACTCGGTCAGGCAAAGGGTCACATAATAAGGCAGTATAGCCAATAGGTCGATGATGTTCAGTGGTGCTTTGATAAAATCCCACTTGTTGGGTGCTGACAGCAGGCGAAGCAGGTACTCCATGGTGAACCAGGCAATGCAAACAGCTTCCACATGGGCTAGAGTGGGGTTGTCATTGAACTGACCAAATTCATCTGCAACCTGAAGCTCCGGCAGAGTGTTGAGGGATAATGAGATGGTAGAAATGATGATGAACAGGATGGAGACCATGGCCAGGATCTGGAAGAAGAAAAACACAATATATTGTATTCTATTAACTTTGTTTAATATCCACAAATATAGCTATGTATACATATGTTGGCTTGATACAGATACAGTATTACAGATATCATTTGCAATGGAATTACCATGTCGTGACATTTCAGCCCATGTATTACTTTAGTTTGTCACCCAACACCCAACCCCAATCCTGGTATAAAACGCTATAAAGAGAATCTCCAGTGTCTTAGCTAAGTGATATCTGAGTCTTCTCTCTTCAGCCCTTGCTAGGACACTTTGGAATAATTGTAATAGGATTGTGCTGCTATCTATAGAAAGGATAGAGGAAGGTCAGAAGTGGTTACTCATTCTGTTCTCCTGGGACGGAACAGAACAGAAAGAAAGCAGCCGTCCAACAACATAAGAACAAGTACAAATATATTACTATAGATATATACACACACATATAAATATATATATACAGACACTCAAACATGTGCACAGTCTGTGTTGATAACATTAGGACACTGACAGCCTTCATTGACATTGTTAAAGCCAACTCTAGAGGCCAATTCAAAACTAATACCACAAGTCGGCATCAAATGTGACATACAGCGGGTAAAATAAGTATTGAACACGTCACCATTTTTCTCAGTAAATATATTACTAGAGGTGCTAATGACGTGAAATTTTCACCAGATGTCGATAACAACCCAAGTGATCCATACATACAAAGAAATCTAACCATAAATGTCCAGAAATGARGTTATTTGTAATAATGTGGAATGGCACAGGGAAAAGGTATTGAACACATGAAGAAAGAGAGGTGTAAAAAGGCATGGAAAGCCAAGACACCAGCTGAACTCTCTCAGTAATTAGATAGCAAGCCTGCCCCTTGTCAGTGCAARTTAATATCAGCTGGTTCAGTCCCAAATGATGGCCAGGTATCACACAAGAACCATCTGATGATGGGTAAAAGTAAAGAGCTCTCTCAAGAC